TAGATGACTGAAAGCAGAATTTGTTGGTATTATATCTAATGCTAGGCTGCCCCCTTCAAGCATGAACTTGAAGGATTCATGTCCTTTCTTGAGCAAATGCTTCAGTATTTGTAAACCATCATGAAAAGTGAAACTACAGAAATATGAGGTATCACAGTATGCTAGAGATTGGAAGGGACCTCAAAAGATCATCTAGTCCAATCCCCCTGACAGAGCAGGAACACCTAGATAAGGTTACACAGGAATGTGTCCAGGCAAGTTTTGAATGTCTCCAGGGAAGGAGACTCCATAACCTCCCTGGGCAGCCTGTTCCAGTGTTCCGTCACCCTCACTGAGAAGAAGTTTCTTCTCAAGTTTAAGTGGAACCTCTTGTGTTCCAGTTTGTACCCATTACCCCTTGTCCTATCATTGGTTGCCACTGAGTAGAGCCTGGCTCCATCCTCGTGACACTCCCCCTTTATATATTTATATACACTAATAAGGTCACCCCTCAGTCTCCTCTTCTCTAAACTATAGAGACCCAGCTCCCTCAGTCTTTTCTCATAAGGGAGATGCTCCACTCCCTTAATCATCTTAGTTGCCCTGTGCTGGACTCTCTCCAGCAGCTCCCTGTCCTTCTTGAACTGAGGGGCCCAGAACTGGACACAGTATTCCAGATGCAGTCTCACCAGGGCAGAGTAGAGGGGAAGGAGGACCTCTCTCGACCTACTAACCACCCCCCTTCTAATACACCCCAGGATGCCATTGGCCTTCTTGGCCCCAAGGGCACAGCCTGATCATCCAGACCACACTTCCTCAATTTAGCTGTGAGGATGCTGTGGGAGACTGTGTCAAATGCTTTGCTGAAGTCAAGGTAGACCACATCCACCGATCTGCCATCATCCATCCACCATGCTATTTCCTCATAAAAGGCTAAGAGATTGGTCAAGCATGATTTCCCCTTGGTGAAGCCATGCTGACTGCCCCTCATAACCCTCTTATCCTTGATATGCCTTAAGATGGCACCAAGGATAAGGTGTTCCATCACTTTCTCAGGGATGGAGGTGAGGCTGACCGGTCTATAGTTACCTGGGTCCTCCTTCTTGCCCTTTCTGAAGACTGGAGTGACATTTGCTTTCCTCCAGTCCTCAGGCACCTCTCCCGTTTCCCAAGACTTGGTAAAGATGATGGACAGTGGTCTAGCAACGACTTCCACCAGTTCCCTCAGCACCCGCGGGTGCATCCCATCTGGACCCATGGATTTATGGATGTCCAGATTGCTCAACTGGTCTCTAACCCATTCCTCATCGACTAAGGCAAACCGCTTCATTGACCTGACTTCATCTAAGGTCTCAGGGGTACAGGGCTCTTCAGGACTGCCTGCAGCAGAGTAGACAGAGACAAAGAAGGCATTCAGTAACTCTGCCATCTCTGTATCTTCTGTCACCAGGGCACCCATCCCGTTCATCAGTGGGCCTACATTGCCTCTGGTGTTAGTTTTGTCTGCCATGTATTTGAAAAAGCTCTTTTTGCTGTCCTTGACCCTTCTCGCCAGGTTTAATTCTAAGGAGGCCTTAGTCATCCTAGCTGCCTTCCTACATCCTCTAGCAGCAGCTTTATATTCCTCCCAAGTGGCCAGCCCCTCCTTCCATGACCTGTAAAATCTCCTCTTCCACTTGAGCATACCCAGCAATTCCCTATTTAGCCACGCAGGTCTCCTGGCCCTCTTCCTTGACTTCCTACGTGTTGGGATGCTCCGATCTTGAGCTCGGAAAAAGCAATCCTTGAATGCCAACCAACTATCTTGGGCCCCTTTACCTTCAAACAGCCTTACCCATGGCATTTCCCCTAGCAATTGCTTGAAAAGGCCAAAGTTTGCCCTGCTAAAGTCCAGGGTTGCAATTCTACTTGGTATTCTACTAGTCCTACCACACAAGACCCTGAATTCCACCATCTCGTGGTCGCTGCAACCAAGGCAGCCCTCAACCCTTACTGCTTCGACCAGACCTTCCTTGTTAGCAAGGATGAGATCCAGCAGCGCTCCTCTCCTGGTTGGCTCATCCACCATTTGCAGGAGGAAGTTATCATCCATACACTGGAGGAACCTCCTGGACTGCGGCTGGGTTGCTGAGTGGTCCTTCCAGCAAACATCAGGGAAGTTAAAATCCCCCACGACGACCACAGCCTGTGACTGTGACGCCGCTCACAGCCTGTGACTGTGACGCCGCTCTCAGCTGCCTGTAGAAGGCCTCGTCAACTTCCTCACCCTGATCTGGTGGTCTGTAACAGACACCCACAACAGTATCCCCCCTGCCAGACTGCCCCTTAATTCTCACCCACAGACTCTCAACTCGCTCATCATCTGTCCCTGGACAGAACTCGGTGCATTGTAGCTGCTCTCGTACATAAAGAGCAACCCCACCACCCCGCCTGGCTGGCCTGTCTTTCCTGAAGAGGACATAGCCCTCCATGACTATATTCCAGTCATGTGAGCTGTCCCACCACGTCTCTGTAACTGCCACCAGATCATAGTCTCCTGACTTAACACAGGTTTCCAACTCCTCCTGCTCATTTCCCATGCTGCGCGCATTGGTGTACAGACATTCCAGGGAGTGAGCTGAGCACACCGATTTCACCCCAGGATTATAGGAGGCCTCCCAGTCCTCATCAATTCTGGAGTGCTGCCCCACTGGGGCAAGCCCAGCTACAACCCTATCCCCCTTCAAATCTAGTGTAAAGCTCTCCAAATGAGCCCTGCTAATTCGTGCCCCAGCATCCTTTTGCCTCTGTGAGATAAACCTTTCCCACTTGTCATTGTCCAGACTGGTGCCCTATAAAACCAGCTGTTATCAAAGAATCCAAAGCCCTGCCTGTAGCACCAGTCTCGAAGCCAATCGTTTATGAACTGAATCTTCCCATTCCTTCCCACATCATCAGTGGAAAATGGAAGGAGTGAGAAGATCACTTGAGCCCCAGACTCTTTCACCATCCGCCCCAAGGTGATCTATCAATAATCAGTTTTCATTCAAGTGTAATGGTATTAGACATGAACCCACTGCTGAGTCATGGCATGCTCATGACAGTGAGAAATAGGCACAGCTCACGTGCAAGTCTGTCAAACTGCTTCTGAAAAAGTTCAAAATGCCACACTTAAGGAAGGGAATCCTTTGGCCCCTTTTCTCCCATAGCTCAAAACATAAGAAGATAAACAAATGCTATCTCTGCTTGCTTCTCCTGTAGATCTTAGAATGGTAGTACTGTGGTAAAAAATTTAAAGTACACACACATGAGAAAAGCAAATCTCAAGTCCTTCTTAAAATATTTACGCAGAGCTCAGGAGATCTCAGTCATCTCATGAGCTGCATCCCACATTAAAGGTGATTTTCCCAAAGCCTGGACTTCAGAAATTTTTTCCTCTCAGACCATACTCATACATAAGTATGAAATGTGATACTTTACTTTAAACCTGATTCTGTACTATCTTACCTGGCTACAACTCATGAGTCAGAAATAAAGAGCAGCTCAGAGACGGGGGATTAAATTAGTTGGAGCAACATTAGATTAAGTGGTAGCATGTAATCAGACCAGAGGATAAATCAAGAACTTCTATACAGCCAGTAATAGAGAAGTGCCTAATGCTCACAAAATATGTGCACATTTCACAAACAAATCTGGACAACCTTGGTTAACGTTGCTGTGTAGCTGAAGTGACTGTGCATACACTGTGAGCAACCTGCATATCAAGTGCCTCTCTTGTAGCCATACCCCTCTCCCTCTCCTGAGAAAACAAATTTACCCAAAATAGGAAACTATAAAATTTGAATTGTAGCATTCAGATGCCACATTGGTACAACTGATCTTGCATCACAAAGCCTGTGGGGACATAATATGTTTCAATGTAAAAAGAAACAAAAAAACATTGAAAGTTTGACTCCTGGAGAACTCCGACCTGCATTACTTTCAAACTGATCAAATTCTACGTTATTTCTGGAAAGCATTACTTATTCAACAACGTAGCAACTGGTTTTGCTAAGATCTGGCAGGGCAAGGAAGGAATAAAACAAGCAAGTCCCAAGAGGCAACAGATTCTACTAGAAGACATAAACAAAGATAAACTATAGGTTTTACTGTGTATCTGAATTACTTTGGTATTGAACAGCATGCACATCTTGCATTTCCTTCTACTGGCTTCAGACCTATGCTATAATTTGATTAAGCCAGTTCTCTAAGGCTTTCCTGTTTTTCAGAAGAAAGAAATTTGTGTTCTGCAGCAGAATATCAATGAAATCGTACTACACTACCCTAGCAATTGGAACTGTATCAACATAATAATCCATGCAGTGATAACTGAAGTCACAGTTAAGTATTTAACCTTGTGAACTATCAAATGAACACAGCAAGTGATAGAAAAATTGAGGACAAGAAACTGCTTTCCCAGCTCCCCCCTCCGCTCCCATGTAAATTAGAGCAATTTGCTTTCCTTTTCATACTGCTGCCATGAAAACAAGAAATACTGCACATTTTCTTTTGTAATAAGGAATTCTGAACCTTCAGACTACTCTGTCTCAGTCTAGGCCCCTAAAAGTAAATGGCCACAGCAAGAAACAGCTCTCTGCCTTTAAAAGCATTCATACATCTTTCCTTGCTGTGAGGACAGTACTTAGTGCCCCCAAAGCTCAGGCCATCACATCAATTCTATATTGCCCTCCTCAACAAATATTTCTGGACTGATAGGTAGGAACTAAGAATGACACACCCCAAAGCCTTTCCCATGAGCAGAATTGAGAAACGCAGTTTTACCTTTTAACAGGCAAATGATAATGCAATAGAGAAATATATAGTCAAACACAGCAGAAAAATAGGTGCCTCATTCCCTGCAAACTAACTTTCATGAAAGCAGGCAGCAGAAACCTGGGTCAGCGCACTGCACTGCTGATGAGTCACAATTCATTCGATCAAACTGTTTTGCCTCTGCCTTTATAAACATTTGCAGAACAACTGCATAATTAGCTGATTTCCCCTTTGTATGTGTTTTTGCCAACTGAAATAATTTCAGATTTCCTTTGTCTGAGGTTTTATGGCCTTGGGATATTAAAGTACATTCAGCCGTGTTAGGCAAGTCGCTTTAGCCCTCTCCTGTCACTGTGTAATAATCATAACACTTAAATCATAGTAGAAAGCATTCAGTGTAGTTCCACAAGATGCACTACATTACACTACAGTGAAAGGCTGTAACAGACTGATTGCCAGAAATCACCGTTCCTCAGTACATAGTCTCCAAGCTTACAGCTGTGCTTTGCCATGCAAGGCTGAAATCAGCTCTTCCTTGCAAAATCCATAGCAGGTACTTTTGCCCCTTTCTTCTCCTGCATTGTATAAAATATCAGGACAAAACCATTCTGCTGCTCCTCAGTGTAGATTTGTAATTTAGATTCTTCCTACTCCTTCCCTCCCACCAAGAATGAAAAACTGGGTACCAGTGTAATTGTAGACTACACATCCCAAATAACATCTAACTTCTCTTCAAGTCAGACACTATAGTCCAGCAAATGTGCCTAGTAAATCAATGCCTAATAAAATGTCACAGGCTTTGTATTTACCTGAAATTACAGGATCTCAGCACTTCTCTTGTCCTGAAGTAACTTTAGTTGTGGTAACAAAAGTCTAAAAGTAAGGTGGCAATTCCCAAGCCTGTTTTAGCTTCATTCTATGGGTATCATACATGTAAAAGTCTGACAAACTTACATAGCCATTGCTTAACAGTCTATATGTTAAATGGTGCCAGGAGGGGTTAACTACGAACTTTGACTAATTTTTAAAGGGTGAAACTGTGAAAATTTTACCTGGGAAACAAAACACAGACCAAGTAAGCAGACTGCGACAAAATATGAAGTGCCGTAACCATCTCAGAAAAGGAAAACGTCACGGAAGTAGCAGCAGTACCTCACTGCATATCAGCAAAGACAAGGGGAGAACTTGCCTAACCCTCCAAGGAAAAGCCATGCAACCATACCATGGGTTTCTGAGCTTTCATCAGATGGCATAGAAAAGTGTAAAAGAAGCCTGACTGAAAATCTCCTTTCCCATCTCACTATAAATTAATGAGGTCTAATCAGATTTAACCAAGCTAGCCAGACCAACTATCCCTAGAATCAGAGACAGTCTCTATGACACATTCAAGTAAGCAGCTCCTACCCATACTTCATCCAAGGTTTGAACACATAGAAGTGGTGAAACTTCACTGCCAAGTAGGTGACTTCTGAAACCCCTCCTAAATCAGAGAGGTTAGGAAAAATTATGGTTATTTGCAAAGGCTTATACCAACAAGTGTTCAGTAAGAACACACTTCTGTAGTTTTGTCTTCACCTCACAAGTTAAATAAAAACTCATCAAGGGCTGCATTTGTGTAAATGAACAAGCAACTTGTTATATTTGCTTGTGTCCTATTCAACTTCAAAAAATACACATTCAAGGCTGAGGTGCAGAACGCTGGTATCATCATCACACTCAATCTGCATCAGTTTGATGTATTCAGCTTTATGCCTACTCAGCACACATAATGGACATTTGGGAACCATGGCTCATTTGAGAAGCCACTTGCACACCGCTTCCAACACCAGTAGCAAAAGCCACATAGGCTCAAAAAGAATGCATATATTAAGTTCATCAATCTGAGCATCTTAACTAGTACATATATTCCCCTTAACAGCAGTGACCCGTGTTTTATCCCATTTTCCATGCTAAAGTTTTCTGATTCTTATACAACTTTTTCATAATTTTTACTAACTGCATTAAGCCACTTAGCTACACGTTTCACAAACCTTTGTCTGCTTTCAGATAACTGGTGTATTTAATTTATTTTAGTGACTATATATCTCCATATCCTGGGGCTCTGTTCACTCTTTAAAATGTGAACTCAAAGCCAAAAATTTCAGCTCAAAAACAAATTAGATTTTTAGGATTTTGTCTCTGGTGAAATTTCCAATCCTTTTGTTTCACATCCTCTGGAATGTTTCAAATCATAGGCCCACACAGTGTCTATTCCCTCTCCAGTAGTATGATCTGGGATCCAGCAAGGGAAAGGAAAACGACAGGCAATGATTCTGGCATTACATTCCAGTTCTTCTTCCAGCTTCTTCTCCAACTGTGGCATCTGTTGAATAACAAGAAAAAGCTTTCAGAAGCAGTAAAAAACAGAACCATTCTCTTTAGAATCTAGTTCAAGTATTTAAGAGAAGTCCAAGATTTGAAAACTTTTTGGAAAAGAAATGTAGGAAAGTATTCATGACATACATTTTGCCTTTGATGCATTGACAAAGAGTATCTGAAACTAGAAAATGGTTATTGTGCCCTGATTGGCAAAATCAAGAAAACTGTAGCTCTAACTTCTAAAAAGTCTATCAAAACCCCATAAATAAGCCCTTAGATAACCACACATTAAGTAAAGACTTTGCATGTCCCAATTTATCATTCTCTTCAGTGGGATTCTCTGTAGAGAGAAGAATTTGTGATACCCCAAGTCACATGAACTTGTGTGTGATACTCAAAGGCCAATGCATCTTGTAGTTTCCAGTCTAACCCCATGGCATATCCTGGGACACTCAAAAAGTTACACAGCCAACAACCCAAAGCAATTACACTGCTGCCACTGTATGGCAAAGTACTGGCATGTTAAATACTATCGAACTTGAACTTTGTAGGGTCTAGCCTGTTAATATATGCATGGAAGTTGCTGCACTGCATGAAACAGCATATAGAATCATAGGATGGTTTAGTTGGAAGGGACCTTTAATGGTTATGTAGTTTCAATCACCTTGCCATGAGCAGGGACATCTTCAGCTACACCAAGTTGCTCAGAACCACATCCAGCCTTGCCTTGAATGTCTCCAGCAACAGCACATCTACCATCTCTCTTGGAAACCTGTTTCAGTGTTTCACCACCCTCACTGCAAAACAATTATTCCTCATAGCTATTCTAAATCTACCTTCTTTCAGTTTAAAGACATTCCCCCTTGTCCTATCACTACATCCCCTATTAAAAACTTTGTCCCCATCTTTCTTATAAGCCCCTTTTAGGTAATGGAATGCTACTATAACTAATCTCCCTGGACCCTTCCCTTCTCCAGGCTGAACAATCCCAAATCTCTCAGCCTTTCTTTGTAGGAGAGGTGTTTCATCCCTCTGATCATCTTCGTGGCCCTCCTCTGGACTCACTCGAGGAGGTCCAAATCCTTCTTACATTAGGGGTCCCAGAGCTGGACACAGTATTCCAGGTTGGGATCTCACCAGAGCAGAGCAGTGGTGGAAAATAACCTCCCTCGACCTGCTGGTCACGCTTTTTGATGTGGCTCAGTATATGGTTGGGTTTCTGGGCTATGAGCACACACTGTTGGCTCACATCTAGCTTTTCATTCACCAGTACCCCTAAGTCCTTCCAGAAGGGCTCTCAATCCCTTAACCCCCAGCCTCTACTGATACTGAGGATTGCCTCAACCCAAGTGCAGGACATTGCACTTGGCCTTGTTGAACCTCTTGAGGTTCACATGGGCCCACTTACTGAGCTTGTCCAGGTCCCTCTGGATGGCTGTGTCAACTGTACCACTCAGCTTGGTGGCATCTACAAACTTGCTGAGGGTGCACTTGATCCCACTGTCTGTGCCACTGATAAAGATATTAAATAGTACTGGTTCTAATAAGGGTTCCTGAGGAGTATCCCTCATGACTGATCTCCAGCTGAACACTGAGCTGTTGACCAGTTGCTACTACCCTACCAATACCCTCTCCACTGAACAGCCCATCCACCAAATCCATACCTCCCCAATTCAGAAAGAAGGATGCAATGATGCTGTGGTGGACTGTGTCAAAATACCACTCCTGCTGGTTGAAGACCTGTAGTCTAGCTTTCCTCCATTTGCAAAAATTGAGCAGATACAAAACAAAAGGAAATATCATTACTCTTCCAAAGAGAAACACCCATCCCAGTCAGATACTCTGTCTCCAATACTTAATTTGCAAATTCTGCTATGGATTAAGTGAGAAATAAATTACCACATCTAGACTTCAGAGAAATTTCTTGTCCATGCCAGATATTAATTATGTTCGGGGGGGAGGGGGTAGAAAAAAGAAAAAGAAGAGGAAAAAAAAAAGGGGGGAGGGGGAACTTAGCCATTTTTGTCCTTTGGAAAAAAATGACATTATGTTTTATCTGATCAGTGCACACCCATTTGGAATTCCTTTATTTCTTACATACTGTATCTATCTCAGAGAGTTAATAACAGCAGCAAGCTCCACAGGTTACTTCTATTACATGGAAAAGTCTATTTACTTGATATCTAAATGTCATGATATCAAAAGGTTAAAAGGACAGCAATTATTTACAAATACAAATCAATATAAGTCACAAAGGACACAAAACATATGAAAATTTCACAAAAAGAAAAAGAAAGCAACAGAAAATTATTAGAAAACAAGACTGACTGAAGAAAATGTATTTCCCAAGGCTGCAGATAGCTTCCACTATCATATACTCACACAGGGTGCCTTTGATGTAACATCCTATTACAGCTACACTTAAGCCTACAACAAAGTACTTTAGGAAAATTATAGTCATAGATCTAAGACATCAGAGAGTTACCTATGGATATTTTTGAGCAGTCTATGCTCTGATTTAATCCATACACCAGATACTTTAAAATATTTTTGCTACTGCACTTAAAAATAAGCCCACTTCAGAATCTCAAACCAAGCTGAGACTCTGGAAAATGAAGGACTAAATTATTACAGAAATTACAAATACAGATATAGCCTATTTTTTAATGAGTAATTATAAAAATTAGTGACACTGTAGGTCTACATTAGCTCAAATTACAAAACATCATTAATACTCAGGCAAAAAAGAATCATACCCTTGAACTAAACAGTCAAACTAGTTTTTAAGCTAAATCAGTAACATTAGGTGTTACAATCATACTGTATCTTTCACCAAGTCAGGTTGGGGGCTTTTTGTATGTCTACACAGATATACAGCTTACTAAACCTTCTGTACAGTATATAATCAGTTAAAATACAGAGAACCTGAGAACATGCACACCTGGTAAGATTTCTGTCATCTCACCCTGAGTAAGTAAAAGCCCCTGCAATTACTCATAAACCCACCTTTCCCCACACATTTGCAAAAACAAGAGAGGTCTTAGTTTTCTCTGAAAATCAATAACTCCGCGTTCTGTAAGCAAATCTTGGATATGAAATAAAAGCACTGCTTAACAGCATCAAATCAGAGCAGTATTATTAAAAAAGCTGAAGAAACCTTTTGCCCTCAGTAAAAACTAAAAAATGCATTAAAGTTTCTAGAAAATCAATTTAATCATTCAGGTAGCTAAGCATTCACAACTTCCAAAGTAAATTTAAAGGGGATCATGAGCAACCAAATGCTCAGGAAATGCAGTAGTTCATATGTTTGGATCTATCACATTTATGACAGTATTTTTATTGGAAGAATTTAGCCCAGTGTTTACTGAATTTACTGACATTATTCGGAGCCCTAGAGCTACTCTTTCTATCACACCTGTTACTAATTTATCCCACTTTATACTATTACATTTAAAGTTAAGCCAGTATTTCTGCTGGGTTTACTCACATTTTCCCAAGGCACTTGTTTATTTCTAGTTTAGTGAAATTTCTTTCTTCACCTGCACTTTTCCCCTCAGTGCAACTGCAGAACTTCTGACTGCAAATTCAAATATTTATACTGCCCCCTCCCGGAACTCAAGCTAGAGAGCACTTAATATCCAAACCTGGCAACATACGTAGCACAACTAACGTAACAGTTCCCACCGATATGCCACCACAAAAGTAGGGAAAAAGAAAAATAACTATTTTCACTTCAGTTTCCAACATGTGTTACGATTTAAATCTGAAGTACGTATCTTAATTCCAATGCTGGTAAAGAAAAAGCAGAGAATAGTGAAGCTTTATTATGCTTCTTGTTGCATCTTTATGCTACTGCTACAGAAATATCAGTGTACGTTGTACAGTATAGCATAAAACTCTTCACTCATTTCATCCCACATTTGCCTTAGCAGAGGAAGAAGCAACACAAAAACATTTATAGGATATTTCTGTTTCATTTCTCCATCTGCATTCAACCTATGTACAAGATTCCAGTAAAAAAATCAAAGTACCAAAAATATTTTCAATATTTAAGAAATTTTCCTCTTTCATAGTAAAAACTAAAAAAACAGCAACAAAAAACCTACATCATCTGACCAAATTTATCGAATGTATTAGTAAAGCAGTCACTGCAACTCAGTTGCTACACCAGTTTTGAAGAACACTTTTGCCCCAGGGATCCAATGAACATAGGCTTATAAAGCCTTCCTATAAGGCAAAGAATTTGTGGACTTGTTCTCTAAGCAATTATACTTGAAATATTGCTAAATTTTCACAGTCTAACATGGGCAAGAGATTATCACAATATATCTGCTGCTGGTCTAATTGAGGTAATCCGGGTTTTGGAGATTACAGGCAAAATTCAATAGTCTCCTCTAAGAAGGTTCCCAAAAATAAGCTGTAGCCAATATCCTATTCCATCCTCTCCCTGCAAGCTCCTCATTTTTTCAGTATGAAAAACTAAAATTGTCAAGAATCAATCTATCACCTTCCCTCCAAGCAACTTAAGCACATCAGTTTTCATTTTGGTTATGAACTAATGGACAGAAAAAAAAACATGCCTATTTTCAGAGCTCCAGTCTGCATAGTCACAAGTTTTATCAGGTTTTATCATGGACATAAATAAGCAACAATGAAGTATCAAAATATTAGTACTAACTACCTTTGACATTTTACAGATAAATGTACTAACACTGAATGCCTCAGTATTAAAATAATTAAAAAATGCAAAAAAACTTACCATTTGAGGCACCCCAAAAACAACGACATTTGTATAACAGGAAAAAGAAACCTAAAATAAAATTTGAGAACAAGTCTTGATGAAAATGGCGTCTGTATTTGGAGAAGCTCTCACCATTCTTTACCCTAATCCCTGTAGCTGCACTACTTTCACCAGGGATTTAGACCAAAAATTAGAAAGGATGTCCTGTATCAACTTGTCATCACACAAATTTCTAAACAGACAACTTTATACTGCTGAACAGCAAAAAACTTTTACCACCTGGCCAAGAATACAGCACTAATTATAGTGGCACAGAAAGTGTTAATTTAGAACATGATTTTACTCATGGCTTAGTTTTTCCACAGCTCCTGTATGTTAAAATTATGTATGTTTCAAGTTTGCCCACCCCTCTTTTGTTAAATGTTAGCTAGCTACAAGAACTTGCCAAGCATGCCAATGCCTAAGTTCTCCCACTCAGTGCCATGAAGTTTTCCAATGCTCCCTTCTGAAAAAAGGAAAAATAATACACTAGCACTTTTCCTCCAAATTCCTACTATCCACATAAACATGACCCAAGAAGGCACACCACATTGAAAAAGCAATTGTGACTCAAATGACAGTAAACTGTGAAAAAAATCTGTCACATGTAAGCTACCTTAAAGCAACACTCAAAACCAGGTAAAACACTACACAGCTGGACAAACATCTAATGAAATGTCAGATGAAATTGTGATCTCACACATTAGGTGAATAAAGGCTTCTTACTGAGCCCACAGTATCAGCTCTCAGCAATACCTGACATTACAGCACCCCACATCAGTCATCAGGCACAATTATGCCACAGTACGTTCAAGGAGTCTGTACTGAAAAAGGACAGCACTTCACCAAAGCACAAAATCAGCAGAGAAGCTAATTGTCCTGCGAGTTTAGTTTCTACAGGCTCAAGTACTTTTCTCAAAGCCCAGTACAGCATCTTGTGGCCAGTCAGTATTCTGGTTCTTTGAAGAAAGTATTTCTAAACTATGGAAATCTCTCAAATAGACCAGTTTTTTTCTTATGTATTTCACCACCTACCTTCCATAAGTCTGAAATATAAAATCTGGTGTTGTGATGTACCCCATCTCTCCAGGCACGGTATCTGGAGTACCAGACCAGCCAAGGATTTAATTCATAGCCAACAGCTTTGAAACCCATTTTCGCAGCTGCTATCACCTACAAGGAAGAAAGTAAATCTTCACTTAGAAGCAGAAAAAGTGTATTCACATATAGTTTTATTGACAATATAAATCAAAGGAATGCATTTTGTATTTCATACAGATTTTAATTCCCAAGAGATTAGCAGTATAGCGAACAAATTACATTTTAGTACTATGACTAGTCCCATTGAAATTAATAGATACATTCACATGAACAAAATGAACCACTTAAACATTCACAGGGCAAAGCTATAAGCCTGTAGTATGTCTATGATTCGCATAAGAGTTTAATTTAACATATTCATAACACTGCCTTGGAGTTGGAATACTGAAATTGGCCATAGAGAAAACAGTGAAATACACAAACAGAAAAGCTCACAGTGAGACTACTTATTTGAAAAGCAGTGATGGGTAGGCATTTGAGAGACCCCTGAATCTGAGACAAAATGACCCACCAATAAAAAGAGCTTGAAAATAAACTGCTGACCTACATTTTAAAAAGGTAAAATTTAAATGTAGGACAAAAAAAAAAAAAATTGAAAAAGAAACCCCACATACAAATCTCATAGTAGAGCTTTCATCCACTGCTAAGCTTCATATATCATCTTAAAAGGCAAAAGGTAATTCAGATAAATAGATTTTTAAAGACATTCCTCTAAATTAGACCTTAAAATTTATAATTGTTAAGCTGTATTGCCAAGTGTCTTCAAACAAGATCAAAACCTATTGAGATTTTAGAAAAAGTTTCTATTCTCATAGAAACATCACCATTACCTAGAATTAAGACTTAAGTCATAATTTAAAAGGCTACTGCCAGGTTCTCACCAAGAGAAGCCTGATGAACTATGAATTACAGAACAGGCAAGGTGCAATCAGGAAGTACACATCTCAAACAGCATTACCTGGACAGTGTTTCACACTATTAAAATAGCGCATCTTTCATAATGCACACAGCACATGCAAATACACTAAAAAAACCTGACATTTTTACCAAGATTGGAAATAAAAATATGATCATATTTATCCACTGATCACACCGAAGCACCAACTATTTAAAAACTCCTGAACAGAAGCTCAGCTTTTTTTAGGACAGACACATTAAGGCCACACCAAGTATTCAATTTTAGGCCTGGCTCTCCAAGCAGTTTTCAGACTCCATTTCAGCACACAAACACAAATAAATATATATATACATATAAATATCAGAATTAAACACAGAGTGCCTATTTAATTAGATGCCTCAAGTGAGTGTCAAGTCAGACTGCTGAGAAGAGAGAGCATCAAAAACTGCAGCTTGTATACCTACATGCTCTTCTCCATTTTCCTATTTGGGTACAATTCCTTCTAAGCCACCTTAACAGGTCTGGATTTCCAAATCAAGTATTTTTAGTGTTGAGAAACGGTTGATTCACTCACATGAACTATGGATGAAGGCAGCATTCAAGAGCTTACTCATTTCCATCAAAAACTCACTTCACGCACCATCCTATTACTAAACCTGACTTGAAACAGATGGTTATGGTTCACAAAACATCACAACTACAAAAAAAAGACACCATTCTCTACTACATCCTCACCACCACTTTTCCAAATCAGAGTTCAGACAGTGTCCTGGAAACGCAGTATTGATTTTACTTTAGCGATTCTCACCATTTCTCTTGGGAATTCTTCTAGTTTCACATTGATTTTTTAAGCAGGGCAGCCAGCACTGCACAAAGGTGTGAAAAATACAACACTAATGATATCAGGATTGTTATTTATGTAATCCACTGCTCATCTCTCATTCTTTGTTCCTCTATCACCATTATACAATAAGCATAGAGCTGCAGCTCCAAAAGCATAGTGCTATTTAATCTCAAAACCTCACATGCTGCAGCTATAAACTTGGGTGGAATCACAGCTCTTTGGCAATCACAATACCAATACTTCCACTGCATCTTTTCACACGAATTCAAAGCAATCCCCGCAAGCCAACAGGATGAGTTCATCATTTTATACACTGCATCATCAAGCTGCAGGCAAGACTGGAGAAAAAAAAACATTGCTTACTCACCTAAACTGAATATAAACCCTTCTCGCTTTGAGCCTTTTTCTAAGGCTCCGACAAAAACACTGGATGCCAAAGACAAGACATTCATAAATATGAGAAAACAACATCAGCCATAGCTAGAGCATCTGACACTTCTTTGAGAGGCAATATACAAGGAAAGTGATGCCCAAGACTTACAATACGGCCATCCCCGCTACCAATGTCAACGAGGGAGCCACTTCTGCTTTCTAACATTCTCAGCACATTCTGGATCTGGGTGGAAGTTGCAGGAACAAAGGGGAGGCACACTTTCCTGAGAGCCGGCGTCACGAAGGGTATGACCACAGCATAAAGAGCCACTAAGGTCCCACCAACACCAGCAGTGACCAACAGCCCCCGGCTCCTCCCTCTTGAGGAGCCCTTGCAGTCGTCCTGCGGGGCTGCTGCATGGCTCTCATTTGCTACCCCCTTGGACATCACACCTAAAAAGAGACATTGAAGAGTAATTTCTCTCATGGCTTTATTACGCGTTTAAGATAAAGCGGTACTGGGATATCTGGAAGGAAAAAGAGTAACTACTTACACCCCTTTAGGTGATACCAAGACTCTACTGAAAACGTCACTATTATTGCTTTTTAGAGGCTAAAGCGTTATCTTTCAAGCCATAAAACCGGTTTCCATGTAAGCCTGTAGTTCCCCCCACCCAGCCGGGAAGCACAGCACCCCGGAACAGCTCAGGGACGGCGTGAGGAAAGACCTCCCCGCCACGGGCAGCCGGGAGCCCGCTTCCCTAACCGTCCCAGAGTAGTTATGGGTCTTCCCCGAGAAGTAACTTTTCTTCGTAGCACAACGCACCCCTTCACGAGCTTCCCCCACCACCAACCCCAGAGGCTCCCGAGCCCCAACAAGGACCCCCTCTTAGCCGGCCATATTTATATGAGAGGGCAATACCACTTAGCCATGCGGGGGGGAAGAGGGACCGAAACCTTTTTTGATGGCGCCTCGCAGAGGAACGGCGCGTGCTCACTCTTCCGCCGCGTGACTGCCCCTACCACTTCACGTTAACAGAGTCACCCGGTACCGCTCACTGCCACCGCGCTTGGCTCCCGTATTCTATTTCTCTCCCCCCTCCCTCCCCGCCCCTTCCAGCACCTAGGGAACGGGGCCGCGAGCACTTCCGTTCTGAATGCTTCCAGAAAGTCCGCTGGAGGCGCCATATAGGTCCCGGCCACCAAATATGTCGCGCAGCTACTGGCCGCGCATGCGCGGAGTAGCGTGCGGGTGAGCGTGCTGCGTCACGGCGTGGCGGCATCCGGCTCGTGCTTGCCCGGTGTGTGGGAGCAGCAGGAGGAGTTGCAGCCATGTCGGCCATGGGGACTTTGGCGTTTGATGAGTATGGGCGCCCCTTCCTCATCCTCAAGGATCAGGAGCGGAAGACGCGCCTTATGGGGCTCGAGGCGCTTAAGGTGAGCGGGCCGCCGATCTGTCCGCGGGCCCTCACTGGGCGCCGCGCCATGCTGCCGTTAGGGGCGGGGAACGGGCGCCGTTAGGCCTCAGCGGGAGGATGGAGCTCGGTGGGGCGAGGCGGTGCGATTCTTGTCTTCTGTCTCGTGTCAGGCGCACGTGGGCCTGCAGGGGAGGGAGGGAGGGATGGGGACAGGGGGAGAGAAGGCATCCCCCCCCCGGTGCCGTGAATCCGCCACCCGCGGCATGATGAGGTGTATGAGGTCTCCGTGGCTGTGGAGTCCTTTCCCCTGTAGTTTCGGCGCGCCCCTCCCAGCGCCTTCTGGGCGCGGCGGGCAGGGAGGCTCCTCGCAGCATCCTCCTTTAGATCCCGCTTTTTTTCTCTCTCTGAAGCTTGCGTTGCTTTCTTCTGTTGTTTCGCCTTTTTAAGCTTCGGGGCTGTCGTGTCCTCTGCTTTGGCAAGCTATAGCGGTGCATGTGCAAGCAGTGCAAGAAAAGGCACAGAAAATGTTTTTGATGTAAAAGCAATACATATATATTGACTTTTTTTTTCAGTCGTAATTAACTTATGTCAGTTAAATTACAAAATTCGAGTTAGCAGCTTATTCCTATGTTTTTCTTAGCTTAATACTATGAATTTGGGATGCATAATAGTGACTTAATTTTTCCTTTGTTTTATAGTCTCACATAATGGCAGCAAAGGCTGTAGCAAGTACTCTGAGAACATCCCTTGGTCCCAATGGTAATAATAATTTTAATGCTTCCTTTTCAGTAATTTTCAGTAATTTTTTTTTTCCTTTTTGTGCATTTTCTATATTTTCTTTCATGCTGTGAATATATTTTTAGGCTTGGATAAAATGATGGTGGATAAAGATGGTGAGGTGACTGTGACAAATGATGGTGCTACCATCCTGAATATGATGGATGTGGACCACCAGATAGCCAAACTTATGGTGGAGCTGTCTAAGTCTCAAGATGATGAGATTGGGGATGGAACCACTGGAGTTGTTGGTAAGACAAGGTTTTAAATTTAAGTTGGCTTTTCCAGCTTTAACATCAAGCTTATTTAGTTATTTTAAGAAATGTTATGTGAAGTAACAGTAGCTTTTCTTTAGCACGTTGTTAGAGTATTTACTATTTCAGTATTCTTGTCAGTTCTTGTATTAGAAGCCTTGTGATAAGAAAGACTTTTGTGGTTACATTTTAAGTTGGTGTTGAGAGTCCTCTTTGTACTTTCAGAATTTTTTCTTCATGGTTTTCTTTCATAACCTTCTACTTGTCCTGCTGTGGTGGCCATGTGGCTTTTTGTTCTAAGAGCATGCAGTTTTCTTTCTAAGCATAGCAAGTCCAGGGTTGTTTAGGGTTATTTTGTCATTCAGGAAAGCTTGATCTGTTAAAATACTACAGTAAAAATTAGAAGGTGTACTCTTTAATCTTTTGATAATGTATTAAAGCTGATGCTGTGACCTGTGGAAGAGTAAATGTTATTATAAAATTTTGTTTTATAGTTCTGGCTGGAGCCTTATTGGAACAGGCTGAGCAATTGCTGGATCGTGGTATTCACCCCATCAGAATAGCAGACGGTTACGAGCAGGCAGCTCGCATTGCCATTGAGCATCTAGACAAAATCAGTGACAGCTTTACGGTTGATCCACAGAACATTGAACCGCTGATCCAGACAGCAAAGACAACCTTAGGCTCTAAAGTGTAAGTCACACAAACTTCAGAAAAATGTATCAGTTTCATTATAAATGCTTGAAAGGTGAAACCCTGGTGATTTGACGGTTTATTAAATTGTTTGCATTATTGGAGTGGCTGCCGAAGGCTTTTCTTATGTTTGATTTTGGCTAATTTCCCAATGGACTTATGTCTCAGGGTAAAAAAAAATGTGTTTTTTCTCTAAAGGGACAGTTCTTTGAGGTTAAAGAGTGCAAAATTAATTTAATTCTAACCTGATAACTTCAGATTTCTTCATCATAGCAAATTCCAAGAGTAATGCAGACCTCTTAAAAATAATTGTGTGTTACATTTCAAAGGTTTGGTTTGTTTTTTTTTCCTAATGTTAGAAAGAAAAAAGTTTGTTAGATTGCTCTATAACCGCATATTTCATTATAGGTTCTAAGTGTATATAAATTCAGACATTGTAAGTGCTTTGCAGAGCTGTCTTTTTAATGGTATTTTAGTGGTTTCTGTGACTTGAATGTTTGTTAACAAATTCTCCTTGCTTCTTTCAAATACGTATTTTGAGACTATGCCCACAAAGACTACTTAGACAAATCATGTTGTGTGTTCTGTTTTCTGCCGTATTTAGCACCTTTGTTTCTATGAACAAACAAGAAGGACCCCCTGTTCTGTACAAAAGTTGTTAGCTATAGTGGTAGTTTTTCTTTTCAGTATTGATAGAATAGCTTTTTTCTTCCAAACTGTGGAAACATAATGCAACTTTATGGTTTTTTTTTAAACCTAGAGTTAATCGCTGTCACAGACAAATGGCAGAAATTGCTGTAAATGCTGTACTGACAGTAGCAGATATGGAACGTAAAGATGTTGATTTTGAGCTGATCAAAGTACAAGGCAAAGTGGGTGGTAGACTGGAAGATACGCAATTGGTTAAAGGAGTGATTGTGGATAAAGATTTCAGTCATCCACAGATGCCTAAAGTAAGTGATACCCCTGTTTGCGTCTTATCTGTAATCATCAAATAGCTTGTCTAGCTCACTTTAAATGCTGTCCTAGCATTTCTTAAGTATTTAAACAGTGCTGCAGTTTGGCTTGTTTTTTCAACCATATATCGACAGAGGAAGGGGAGAGGAGCATTACATTCTTGGTGTTGGAAGAGACCAAGGTAGAATTTTAGAGCAGTCTTGAGAAATGATGGCAGGACGGATCACTGTATGGCCAAGTGAGGACAGGTGCATAGTTCTATCTTGAAGCAGAAATAATCATCCATAATGTGTAATGCGCTTGAGATGCTTAATGCAACTTGGTATCAAGAAATACTTCTTAAGCTTTATGAAGCTTCTTAAGCTTTGCCACATTGTCCTGTTTGGAACAGAAAGCTCTCCTTCTATTATATTTGTTGTATTTAAGGTCCCCCAAGTCTTTGTGCAACATACTTCAAGAACGAAGGATGCAATGTTAAATTTTGACTATTCTAAAATATTTTTCTAGTAGTTGATACTGTTTATCCTAGAAAAAGGATGATACATAATATCAGTCATGTACATAAAAGGTGGCTGTGAAGATGAGTATGTAGTACTTCTAGTAGTCATAGTGGATTGGGCAAATAATAGTTTCACAGAGGATTTTTTTCTGTTTGTATTTTTTTAATGATAAAAAGACATCAGTGGTAGAGATGGTTATGGGCTTAAACAGTGTCTAAGCCGTGGAATTTGCTCTAGATGGGTTAGAGGCTTCTGAAAGAATTATTTACATATAGTTAGTTTCAATTTAAAGTCAAATGATCCTTGAGTTTCCTCTTATCCCTGTGTTTTTATACATCTGTATGTTTTGCAGATATAAGACAGAGGTGTTACTGAGGTCAAAACTCAACTTTTCTTTTTTTTTTATTCTATTTTGGGATTTTTTTAATTTTACAGGAGCTTAAAGATGCTAAAATTGCAATCCTTACTTGTCCATTTGAACCACCTAAGCCTAAAACCAAGCATAAGCTTGATGTCACATCTGTTGAAGATTACAAGGCACTGCAGAAATATGAAAAGGAGAAGTTTGAAGAGATGGTGAAACAAGTAAGATTGTTCCTCTGTTTTCTACATTTTCCATGACTCTTACACAAAATAGCATAGTGCCTGGAAATGAGCTAATAATCCAGATAGGAGGCAACATCCAACCAATAATAATAAAAGTTAAGGTGACATAAGAAAGACACCACACTAGTTTGAAATTAACTTTGAACTCTGTGTATGCCAAATAGTTCTTTTTTTGGACTTACATTTTGAGAAAATGAGGAGAATTAAAATCATGAAGAGATTGTTTTTCTTTACTCTGTTAGTTCTGATCAGGAGATTGATGTTGTATGCTGCTTTCAGATAAAAGACACCGGTGCAAACCTTGCTATTTGCCAGTGGGGTTTTGATGATGAGGCAAATCACTTGCTGCTCCAGAATGAGCTGCCTGCTGTTCGTTGGGTTGGTGGAGCTGAAATAGAAGTAAGTAAAATATTCTACAATTCAGCTCTGTACCAGTTCTCAAACATTTCTTAAGTATCATGCTGTGCCAGTTAAAAGTTTGGGCTTTCTGGGTAGAACTGTGTAATTACGTGTATGGGTAGGTATTGGAGAAAAACTGTAGGGAATCTGTGGGAAGAACCTACACTGAATGGGATTATGGTTTACAGTGGGAGTGTATGCATATTGGCTAGGAATGTTTCTGCTTTTAGTCTTGCTCTTTGCAGAAACAAGATATTACCTGCAATACTTTGAAGTGATGGGAAGGTAACCTTTTGGATTAGGCATTTGACAGTCTCTCCCGCTAGTTTGTTATGAAAAAGGCAATTGAAAAGTCTTCTCAAAATAATTGATGGTTCTTTAACTTCAGTTAATCGCCATTGCAACTGGAGGCCGCATTGTTCCTCGCTTCTGTGAACTCACAGCAGAGAAACTGGGTTTTGCGGGTGTTGTCCGAGA